TCAAAATAAACGGAAAAAAAACATTTATTTAGCATAATCAAAATCTGTTTTTGAAATTGGCCGATCAAAGTTTTTATCGAAAAAGGTAACTTGTAGTATAATTTAATATGTATATATAAGAATATATGTTAGACGTTATATAAATATTTAAAAAACATCACTACTCTTTTTGCGATTCATCAATATTCATCCTTTAAACATTTGTCCGATTTATTCAATACTTCAAATTTTCACGAATTTGTTTTAATTATGCATCCACAATCAATTACCTTTAATTGCTATTTGAAATTAATAAACTTTTGACGACAATATCGGACGTGATTAAACACGACCAAAATGTCATGAGTAATATGAATAAGATTAATTTGACATGGTTCTAAGACGGTAATTCACGTTTTCTGGCATTTTTTTATTTGACATATTCATTGTCTCTTTGATGTCAAGTCGATAAAAGTCTTAATTTCTTTTGCCTACGTGTGTTATATAATAGGAAGGGAGAATTCTTATTTTAATACCGAGCATGCCTAAAATAAATCTTAGATTTTGCACTAATTTTATTTTGATGCAAGGTCGTTTCTTTGTCATATCATGTCAAAAAAGATATTTGCAATATCCTGCTTCGATAGAAATGAAGTTTTTAGAAGTACTTCGATCACTTCATGACATGAATTTTGCAACGTTATTGTGGACTTGCCACCTACATGTTACACATGAACACGAAACTAGACTTTGTCTTTCATGTCCGATATTGCCGTCAAAAAATTATTGATTTCAAATGACAATTAAAAGTGATTAATTGTGGATGCATATCTCTTATTAAAACAATGCAATAACATGAAGAGGACGTCTTCCCTGTTGTTTGCTCCGAATTGCTCGGCTTAATGTTGCAAGTTTTAAATATGTGACCAATTATGACTGAAGCATAATCGTATCCTTCTACTTATTTAAACATAATAGTTGAATGATTAGCTAACATACTGCATGTCTTATGGCAAAGGAAATCTATGTAACGCTTTACCACTACATTTACTAATATAACGCCTAAAACTAGAGTCTTACTGTTACTTTAGTTTTACATTTTGTCTCTTAGTTTGATTTTTGTTGTTATCATTTATGATAGTAATAAAGTTTTAACAAATTGTTTATGATTGTCCGTATTAAAACCACCTGCAGCTGTTCGAGGATTATCTTTATACTGTATTATAAATATGAAATCAGAGAGTATTTAAACGAAGTGGCAATGCACATACATTTATTTGTGGGGGTAGAACGAGAAGCCTTGTGCAAAGAAATGTTCTGTAGACGATTGGGACCCATTAGTCCTGCGCAATATAGTTCCATTGCGTAATTGGTCATTCGCTAAGAAAATAATATCCAAAATGGTACAAATGTAGACCCAATGTAATATCGGTTCCTTTTTTAAACAACGTCAAAAATAGTTCGTAGTTGTGATTAAACCAAAAAGTGATATCCACCATAAATGTTGACCAATGTCTCAAGTGTATTTCAACAGTGTGTTCAAAACTTGTTTATCTTTCTGATATGTACTTGGTCTCTTCATACAATGAACCTTCGTTGATCTTCTATGTCTAAAACTAGATGTAAATTGTAAATACCCCTTTGGAAAATGGGCCATCATTGAACTCTAGAATTTTTTACATCTAGGTGCTTAAATAAACATTTAGTTTTTGGTAATAGAGTAACGTCAAATATATATATATTTTGTTTACATTTTCAGTTCCTGAATATAATGACAATTAGGCTAACTTACATTCAATTCAATTCAATTCAATTTTAGAACAAGAAAACATTTCATATAACAACCAGCTATATAACATAAAATACACATTAAGAACATATTTGACAAAGACATAACATAAACTGAATAGGTTGCAACCTGAAAGCAAAAATATAATCCTTATATAAAGGTTGACCCTGTTTTATAATAAAAGATATGAGATAGATTCGTTACTAAACATTATACAATACACAAATCAAGACAACAAACATACATACAAACAACCAGTAAAATAGGTCTTGAATTCAAATGATTATTGCAATTTATCCAAATGAAATTTCTTATATCTACGTTTAAATACATTTACACTAACAAAATTATGAATATAAAGAGGAAGAGTGTTCCGAAGAAATGGTCCTTCAAAAATAATTATTTTTTTGGTTTAGTACTGTACGAGTCAATTGCAAATTAAATTGTTTAGCATTTCTAGTATTATAACTATGAATATTACAATTTAATATAAACAATTTGGAAATTGAATCAGGAATAAGATTGTGATGACATAAATACATAAAAACACCTACTTGTTATAGGGTGATCACACTGTCTGTGCAAAAAGTCTACCCCGCGAACACACACACACAACAGCAGTCAGTTGGTAGAAATAGCAATTTTTTAAATGAATTTAAAAAAAATTAAACAATATTTTAAAAATTTTATTTCACATATATTTTAAGCATACCTTTATCTACAATTCTGTGTAGTTTCTTTGTTATAGGCATGTGGGAAATATGTTAATTAGAATATTGTCTTTTCAGCCATGTGTGACATGGCCCGCTGATCGCCCATTGACTCGCGCTGCTATTCTGCTTGGTGAAAATGCACCTCAATGTATACAACTTCCCTACAAACATGCAATATCCTCATGTGTTTCACTCATTGAATCAATTTGTTATTTACACTCAAGGTAGCCACAATTGTACTGGGATCATCAAAGTTTTTGTTACTCTAAAATTCAGTCCCTGTGAAATGTTATGGCCTGTTGAATGGTTTCTCGGAAAAATCATCATAAATCCTCACATTTGACATCTTTTAAATAGGCAAATATACTGTGATGTAGCTGAAATTCTAGAAATTCTTATCATATGATTGGTTTTCTGAATAATTTGTGAAACATATGAGGAAATAGCTGTGACGGTGATCAAAGTAATTTCCATCGCCATATTTTATTGGCATTGCAAAATTATTTGGAATTTAAGGTTAATATTTGGTGTAAATATGATCTATGAATATATGATTTAAAAAATGCCCCCAAAATGAACAGTTTGACTTTCCTAATGTGCATAATTGGTGCGTGAATATATAATTAGCTGAAATGACCTAATTTGCATATTTGATGAATATTCATGTTTTTTGGGGTTTTTTTTTCAAATGAAATATATTTCCATACCTGTCTGATATACATAGGTTTCACTGATGTACCATGTTCGGTTTTGATTTGATTACATATGCGCATATTAATTAGGCAGACTAAGTTATTTTCACAACTTTTTTTATATCTGCAGATTCGCAAAAATGGCAAAAAGGACTTATTTTGTTGGCTTCTGTTTTCAAAACGGTAATAGATATGTGAATTTTCTGTTAACAAGAGTAACTTTCCTAGGCCTACTAAATATCTCCCTACATACACACTTACACACCACCACACACGCACACACACACACACACACACACACACACTCACACGTACATACACGCCTATTATGTCCGAGGACCATGGTAAACTACCTTCTTTTGAGGACAGGCGTTATCTAGCTCTAATGGACATAATGGTGAAAAGACTCCTTAAAAAAGAGAATGCTTTTAAGGACGCTCACAAAATTGAATGCGTTTTTTTAAGTTTAAAAATTTATCATAGACCTATACATCAGAGGACATGATTCTTGTTTTGGTATACGTCTGAGGTGGCTTTCTCTAATGTTAAAATGTCATATTTCAGCATTCGACAGAGGTCAACCACGCACACTTATCAAGATTGCGTAAACTTACGAGGACATTGTATTGAATAGGTAACACAGCTCAAGTTTACATAAAGGTACGAGGACAACATGCGTTACAAATGTAACACAGTCTTTGTTTGTATAAACTTATGAGGACATATCAACACAGATAAAGTTTCTGTAAACTTATGAGGACATCACACAAATCAAGTTTGCAGCAACACACGAGGACTTATTGCACAGGTATTTCACACATACCAAGTTTGCGCAATCTTACGAGGACATTGTATTGAATTGGTAACACAGCTCAAGTTTGCATAAATGTACGAGGACAACATGTGTTGCAAATGAAACACAGTCTTTGTTTGTATAAACTTATGAGGACATATAAACTTTATCTGTTTATTTTGCAAAGGTATTTCACACAGATCAAGATTGCGTAAACTTATGAGGACATTGTATTGAATAGGTAACACAGCTCAAGTTTGCATAAATGTACGAGGACAACATGTGTTGCAAATGAAACACAGTCTTTGTTTGTATAAACTTATGAGGACATATAAACTTTATCTGTTTATTTTGCACAGGTATTTCACACAGATCAAGATTGCGTAAACTTACGAGGACATTGTATTGAATAGGTAACACAGCTCAAGTTTACATAAATGTACGAGGACAACATGCGTTACAAATGTAACACAGTCTTTGTTTGTATAAACTTATGAGGACATATCAACACAGATAAAGTTTCTGTAAACTTATGAGGACATCACACAAATCAAGTTTGCAGCAAAACACGAGGACTTATTGCACAGGTATTTCACACATACCAAGTTTGCGCAATCTTATGAGGACATTGTATTGAATAGGTAACACAGCTCAAGTTTGCATAAATGTACGAGGACAACATGTGTTGCAAATGAAACACAGTCTTTGTTTGTATAAACTTATGAGGACATATAAACTTTATCTGTTTATTTTGCACAGGTATTTCACACAGATCAAGATTGCGTAAACTTATGAGGACATTGTATTGAATAGGTAACACAGCTCAAGTTTGCATAAATGTACGAGGACAACATGTGTTGCAAATGAAACACAGTCTTTGTTTGTATAAACTTATGAGGACATATAAACTTTATCTGTTTATTTTGCACAGGTATTTATCTCTTTTAGCGATCATGAGGAGTTTATCTCAACAAGGTTCCACTTTACATCATTCAGATACAAGCAAATTTAAACACTTCAAGTACACATGTAGATCATTTTCAAAGATTTGTTTTTAATAAAACTCAACACTGACAACAGGAACTTGACATACATGCAGTTAGTCATTCATAATGCATAAATAACTTTTCTCTTACATGTACAAAATCTCAGAAATCACCTCTTCATTTTTCTTAAATGATAATCTACACAAAGTCTGATCATTGTGATCATTTATCGATCATTACACACAGAATTTTCAAAATGAATATAATCACTAAGATTGTCAAAAATCCTTAAATTAGCAGCATGTTTCTGCATTTGTTAATGTGATATTGAAAGATTTGGTCCACACTTGTGGTCGATTGTGCAGACATTCAGTAATAAAAAGAAACGTCAATTTTAAGCATTTTCTGGAGGTCTTTTCCCTTTTTATATTTCAACTTGTCCCCATTTTAGTTCCTTTTCTTTTCTATTCTGCCCGAATACGCAAGTGCAAATAAGGCATCTACAGGTATCATAAACATTGTAATAATTTGATAGTAACACTTGTTTGCATAAATCTGTTAGATTACACTGCAATGCAACAATGAACTTGTTTCCATAAGTGTTTGAGAACATTACATGTACACTGCATATTTGACATAGAAATTGTTCACATATTCAAGAGAGGACATGCATTTTTTAATACTAAGCAATTTCAACACACTAATTGAGGATCTCTATACTTACCGAAGATGGTATGTTCTTTTCCTTTTCCAGACTGGGCTACAATACATGAGAGAAAGACATGAAACATTTCATCATTGTCATTTTTTTTTGGTTTACCCCTTTTCTTTCCATTTATTTTCTTGTATTTTTAAAACTTTCTTTTTCTTTCTTTTTCCCTTTTTATATTTCACTTTGTCGGCATTTTCGTTTCTTTTCTTTTCTGTTCTGCCCGAATACGAGAAGGCAAATAAGGCATCTACAGGTATCATAAACATTGTAACAATTCGATAGTAACACTTGTTTGCATAATAAAAAAATAATAATAATGAAATATCTTTATATAGCGCATAACACAATCATGAGAAAGTCCCTATGCGCTTAAACAGAAATAGAAGTGTGAAAGAAATCAGAAGAGCTGGGATTATCACTAAGGTTATTGGGTTTCAAAGAGATAAGTTTTTAGGTTCCCGACCGAAAGTGCTGTACTTAGTCTCGGCAGGCTGTAGTCTCTTAGAAAAGAAAGCCAATGGTTGTCAAATTCCATCTACCAGCTGTTGGATAGTTCCTCCAACTCCCACATCAGATGCATCAACCAACAGGCATAGAGGAACATCAATTCTAGGATGAACTAAAACTGCAGCGTTAGCTAACTGATCTTTAGCCTGATTGAAAGCAGAAAGTTCTTGTTCACCTAGGGCGATTGGTTGGTTCTTCTTCGACCTATTTTTCAGCAGATCTGTGAGAGGTTGGAGTACTTCTGCACACCGCGGAATGAACCGTCTGTAGAAATTGATCAGCCCGAGGAACTCTCGTAGTTTGGTAAGTGATGTAGGTATCGGAAAATCCCGGATGATCTTCACCTTGTCACTAAGCGGCTGTATTCCTTCTGAGTCAACTGTATGCCCTAGAAAGGTCAGTAAAGGTACTCCGAACTGACACTTAGCGGGGTTGAGAATGATTCCATACTCTTGCAGGCGGTCAAAGAGTAGACGGAGATGTGTCTCGTGTTCGTCTTTGGTAGTACTAGCTACCAGAATATCGTCGAGATAAACATAGACGAAAGGAAGACCGCGAGTGACATCATCCATCAATCTTTGGAATGTCTGAGCTGCATTGCGGAGGCCAAAAGGCATCCTTACAAACTCGAATAATCCAAAAGGGTGGTTATGGCTGTCTTGTGGATATCGCTAGGCTCGACTGGGATCTGATGATATGCCCTGATGAGATCAATCTTTGAAAAGATTGTCTTGCCACTAAGTGACGCAGAGAAATGTTGCAAATGAGGAATAGGGTATCTATCAGGAATAGTACGAGCATTAAGCATGCGATAATCTCCACAAGGTCGCCAGTCCCCTGGTGTCTTCTTCGGAACCATGTGCAAGGGACTTGACCAGTTGCTATCAGATTGTCTGATAATGCCGAGTTCAAGCATGTGTTCAAACTCTGCCTTGGCAATCTGCTGCCGATCCGGAGCAAGCCGACGAGGGCGAGCTGAAGCAGGTGGGCCTCGAGTTTGGATATGGTGGGTGGTTGTATGCTTGACTTCTGAGTGCTTGTATACTGGCCGGGTGATGTCAGGATACTCACGAATAAGGGAGTGGAAACGCTCCGAAGAATCTTGCTTGACATACACCGGGCTAATGATGGCTGTGTATGTACCGACTCCCTGTACTGTAAGAGTGGTGGTGGTGTCTATCAGCCGTCGATGTTTGATGTCGACCAATAGTCCATAGTTATCAAGGAAATCGGCTCCCAAGATAGGTGTAGGTATGTCCGTGACAACAAAAATCCAACGAAAAACTCGCCGCAACCCAAGATCAAGAGTGAAAGATCTCTGGCCAAAAGTCTTAATGGGTGACTTGTTAACAGCTTGAAGTTGGATATTTGTTGCACTTACCATTGCCGATTTTCCTAACATGGATTGAGGGAAAATACTAACTTCGGCCCCAGTATCAACAAGAAAACGCGTGCCTGATTGTTTATCATGAACAAAGAAAAGGCGACTGGGTTGAATGGTGCCAAGTGAATTAGTCGCCGCTATTCCTTGGCGGGCCCGTTTCCCTGGACATATCCAGGGCGGCTTTGTCCTGCTGAGTATGAACAAGGACTTATGCACTTCTGGGCTCGTTTGCCATGCTTCCAGTGGTACCAACATTCAGCCCCAGCATGTTGTTGATGCCGACTCGGGCTACGGGAAGCTGATTGGCGAGGGCCGGAATTCCTCGGGCCTCGCTGTCGACTGCGACTTCTGCGGTCCTCCTGTATAGAACAAGTCAAGGCTTGCACCTGAGCAGCCAGTTGAGCTACCTGGGTAGAAAGTCGATGTACTTCACCAGAGTCATTGGGAGTAGCGCAAGCGTAAGTCTGCACTGGTACCTCTTTAGGTAAGACATGAGAAATAGTAGGCGGACCAGCAACTTCAACGATTGTGTCGGCTAATGCCGCCAGCGCAACCAAGCTGACATCATCGCTTGTGGAAGCGAGAATCAACTGTACATTGGTTGGCAGGCGTTGCAAAAATAATTGCTTAAGTATACTAGTTTCCAAAGTATTAGAGCCTAATAATTGTTGCATTCTCCTAAGGAGTTGGGAGGGCGACCTATCGCCTAACTCTTCACTCGTCAGCAATTTGTTCAGACGCTTTTGCTCAGAGACAGAAGTTCGCTTAACCAGTGCTGCTTTTAGTATCTTGTACGGCTCTGTTTGGGGAGGGGCAATTAAAATATCGCGCACCTCTAGAGCTACCTCTGGTTGTAATGAGGCGACAACATAAGCGAACTTTGTAGACTCAACTGAGACACCTCTAGTTTGAAACTGAGCCTCAACCTGAGCAAACCAAATATCAGGATCATGTGCCCAAAATGGTGGAAGCTTTAAGCTAACATAATGAGACTTGAGGGGATGGTTCAGAAACCTCACTAGGTGATACATTGCTATCAGTATCAGGCATGATAATGATGATGACAAGGTAGATTAGATCAACAGAAGAAAAAAAAAATCTGGATCACGTCGGGATCACCAGTTTAGGGAATTTAATCACCTAAATAAAAGAAATAGAAATAGATTTCTTTCCTACCTCGTCTCGTAGAAACACCTGTTGAGTACAGATACTTGGAACATATATTATATCACAAGTAGTAGTTCAAATATTGCACAGCACCCGTAGAAAGAATATGTAAGACCATGTACAAAGTAATGGCGCTTCTTCGCGAATTAAGTAAAGAAGAAGAAACTTATAATCTCTATAAAGTAATAAGGCCTCAGAACCGAGTAGAGAAACAAGCGAAGAAATAGGACAAGAATTAAGATGAAGCTGAATTAGCTTTGCTGTAGATCGACTCTCTAGAATACTTGTGCTCTATATGAACAGCTCAGGAGAAGTGATGAAAATAGGTGTGGCAAATAAAACAAGCAAGTGTAATGTCCTTGTACAGTATAAGCTATACCAGTACATTAGGTGGTTGCACATCCCAACCTATAGGGTATGGAATGTGCTTGCCAGAATAACTATGTGTGGCACTCTAGTAATGCAACAGGTGTCACTAAAGAAATGAGTGACAATGGAATAAAAGGCTAGACTTCAAGCCACACAATAAAGACAAGACAATAATATTTACAAATGCAAAGTTCTCCAAAGGTCAAGTCACTACAGGTTACTCCTGAATTTGTCATATGGTGTGATATTTGTGAAGTAGTTTGGTAGGCTATTCCATGAAATAGATGCTTCATGTGAAAATTATCTCTCACCATATGATTTTGTTGCAGTTTTAGGTACAGTGAACATTGATCTTTTACGAGAACGTAATGATCTCTCCGGTTTATATTCAATGAGCAATTCTGTGAGATATATGGGTGCTAACTGTTAAATCTGTATTACACTGCAATGCAACAATGAACTTGTTTCCATAAGTGTTTGAGAACAATACATGTACACTGCATATTTGACAAAGAAATTGTTTACATATTCAAGAGAGGACGTGCATGTTTTACTACTAAGCAATTTCAACACACTAATTGAGGATCTCTATACTTACCGAAGATGGTATGTTCTTTTCCTTTTCCAGACTGGGCTACAATACATGAGAGAAAGACATGAAACATTTGATCATTGCAATCTTTTTTTGTTTACCCCTTTTCTTTCCATTTATTTTCTTGTATTTTTAAACTTTCCTTTTCTTTTCTTTTCCTTTTTTATATTTCAACTTGTCCCCATTTTAGTTCCTTTTCTTTTCTATTCTACCCGAATACGCAAGTGGAAATAAGGCATCTACAGGTATCATGAACATTGTAACAATTCGATAGTAACACTTGTTTGCATAAATCTGTTAGATTACACTGCAATGCAACAATGAACTTGTTTCCATAAGTGTTTGAGAACAATACATGTACACTGCATATTTGACATAGAAATTGTTTACATATTCAAGAGAGGACATGCATGTTTTAATACTAAGCAATTTCAACACACTAATTGAGGATCTCTATACTTACCGAAGATGGTATGTTCTTTTCCTTTTCCAGACTGGGCTACAATACATGAGAGAAAGACATGAAACATTTCATCATTGCAATCTTTTTTTGTTTACCCCTTTTCTTTCCATTTATTTTCTTGTATTTTTAAAACTTTCCTTTTCTTTTTTTCCCCCTTTTTATATTTCACCTTGTCCCCATTTTTGTTCCTTTTCTTTTCTGTTCTGCCCGAATACGCGAAGGCAAATAAGGCATCTACAGGTATTATAAAGTAACACTTGTTTGCATAATAAAATAATAATAATAATGAAATATTTTTATATAGCGCATAACACAATCATGAGAAAGTCCCTATGCGCTTAAACAGAAATAGAAGTGTGAAAGAAATCAGAAGAGCTGGGATTATCACTAAGGTTATTGGGTTTCAAAGAGATAAGTTTTTAGGTTACTCCTGAATTTGTCATATGGTGTGATATTTGTGAAGTAGTTTGGTAGGCTATTCCATAAAATAGATGCTTCATGTGAAAATTATCTCTCACCATATGATTTTGTTGCAGTTTTAGGTACAGTGAACATTGATCTTTTACGAGAACGCAATGATCTCTCCGGTTTATATTCAATGAGCAATTCTGTGAGATATATGGGTGCTAACTGTTAAATCTGTATTACACTGCAATGCAACAATGAACTTGTTTCCATAAGTGTTTGAGAACAATACATGTACACTGCATATTTGACATAGAAATTGTTTACATATTCAAGAGAGGACATGCATGTTTTAATACTAAGCAAGTTCAACACACTAATTGAGGATCTCTATACTTACCGAAGATGGTATGTTCTTTTCCTTTTCCAGACTGGGCTACAATACATGAGAGAAAGACATGAAACATTTCATCATTGCCATCTTTTTTGTTTACCCCTTTTCTTTCCATTTATTTTCTTGCATTTTTAAAACTTTCCTTTTCTTTTCTATTCCCTTTTTATATTTCACCTTGTCCCCATTTTTATTCCTTTTCTTTTCTGTTCTGGCCGAATACGGAAGTGCAAATAAGGCATCTACAGGTATGGTATTATACATGTATGTATCATAAACATAGTAACGACTCCATAGTAAAGATGATTATTACGCTCACCATTCCCATCATTTTTTTTTGAGGGGGGGGGGGGCCAATTTGAGGATAAAAGGTATCAGAACCATGTTTGGCAAACATTTTTTTGTCCTTCTTTTATTTTCTTAGCTAACAAGGCACTTCAAATTACTTTTTAATTTGAAAACAATTAATAAATCATCATTAACAGAAAATTTTCCTGAAGGTTTTTGTTTTTTCTGAGGGTTTATTCTGAAATGTGAATCTGTCTTTCAATGTGAGGTCTAATTATATAGCAAAATTTAGTCATTTACAAAAATTGAGGTACACTTCTTTCTTTTATCACATTATAATTATCTTGAATGTCAAAGTTCTAATAGCATTAGGTTACTTCATAAGCAAGCTTCCCATTAAGATTCACCTTTTACCAAGTGCATACATTAGAATATAAGCAAACAAGAACATGTTCCATTTACCTGCCGCCAAGGTAAATTCTTTACTCCATAGTCGTATGTTAGTTCCACACCTTCTTTAAGGTCCACCAAAGCAAACAAGCACAAATGTGGGGAGTTATTATCAAATGCAACCTTTTCCATGATGCTATTTGCAGGCGCGGATCCAGGATTTTCCAATAGGGGGGGGGGGGGGGGGGGGGGCCGGAAATTTGAAAATTGCGCATACCGTTTTTTGTCAAGGTCATATTAGAAGCACCATACCGGTACAATTTTTGACATTTTCATCAGGGGGGGGGGGGGCTATAGCCTCTTGCCCGAAAAAAGTAATTTTCTGGTTTCACAATTCGGCTAGTGAGCGAGCAACAATTTGAGCATAGTATGTATTTTGTGAAAGTGTTATTTATCACCGAAATAAACGAGAAAAGGTATCAAAAACTCATATTCGGGCAGCTCGCTGCCCCCCCCCCCCCCCCCCATTACGCGCGAAGCGCGGAAGCTTTGACCTTTCAATAATTATTAGAGAAAGAAGACGGTCGTTGTACCGTTCTCGACTCTTAATCCTTGTCTGAATTCAGTTTTTCCCCTCCCGCGCGAAGCGCGGAAGCTTTGACGTTTCATTAAATTATTAGAGAAAGAAGACGATTCGTTGTAACATTCTCGACTCTTAATCCTTGTTTGAACGCAGTTCTACCCCCTCTCGCGCGAAGCGTGGAAGCTTTGACCTTTCATTAAATTATTAGAGAAAGAAGACGATTTGTTGTACCATTCTCGACTCTTAATCGTTGTCTGAATTCAGTTTCATCCCGCCCGCGTGAAGCGCGGAAGCTTTGCCCTTTCATTAATTATTAGAGAAAGAAGATTTGTTGTACCATTCTCGACTCTTATTACTTGACTGAAATCAGCCCCCCCCCCCCCCTCCCGCGCGAAGCGCGGAAGCTTTGCCGTTTCATTAAATTATTAGAGAAAGAAGACGATTCGTTGTACCGTCCTCGACTCTTAATCCTTGTCTGAATTGAGTTCTCGTCCCCCCTCCCGCGTGAAGCGCGGAAGCTTTGACGTTTCATTAAATTATAAGGGAAAGGAGACGATTCTTTGTACCATTCTTGACTCTTAATCCTTGTCTGAATTCAGTTTTCCCCTGCCCGCGCGTAGTGCGTAAGCTTTGACGGTTCATTAAATTATTAGAGGAAGAAGACGATTGGTTGTAACATTTTCGACTCTTAATCCTTGTTTGAACGCAGTTTCACCCCCTCTCGCGCGAAGCGTGGAAGCTTTGACCTTTCATTAAATTAATAGAGAAAGAAGACGATTCGTTGTACCATTCTCGATTCTTAATCCTTGTCTGAATTCAGTTTCATCCCGCCCGCGCGAAGCGCGGAAGCTTTGCCCTTTCATTAATTATTAGAGAAAGAAGATTTGTTGTACCATTCTCGACTCTTATTACTTGAGTGAATTCAGCCCCCCCCCCCTTCCGCGCGAAGCGCGGAAGCTTTGACGTTTCATTGAATTATTAGAGAAAGAAGACGATTCGTTGTACCGTTCTCGACTCTTAATCCTTGTCTGAATTGAGTTCCCGTCCCCCCTCCCGCGTGAAGCGCAGAAGCTTTGACGTTTCATTAAATTATAAGGGAAAGGAGACGATTCTTTGTATCATTCTTGACTCTTAATCCTTGTTTGAACGCAGTTTCACCCCCTCTCGCGCGAAGCGTGGAAGCTTTGACCTTTCATTAAATTAATAGAGAAAGAAGACGATTCGTTGTACCATTCTCGATTCTTAATCCTTGTCTGAATTCAGTTTCATCCCGCCCGCGCAAAGCGCGGAAGCTTTGCCCTTTCATTAATTATTAGAGAAAGAAGATTTGTTGTACCATTCTCGACTCTTATTACTTGAGTGAATTCAGCCCCCCGCCCCCCCCCCCCCCCCCCCCCCCCTTCCGCGCGAAGCGCGGAAGCTTTGACGTTTCATTAAATTATTAAAGAAAGAAGACGATTCGTTGTACCGTTCTCGACTCTTAATCCTTGTCTGAATTGAGGAGTTCCCGTCCCCCCCTCCCGCGTGAAGCGCGGAAGCTTTGACGTTTCATTAAATTATAAGGGAAAGGAGACGATTCTTTGTACCATTCTTGACTCTTAATCCTTGTCTGAATTCAGTTTTCCCCTGCCAACGTTAGCGCGTAAGCTTTGACGGTTCATTAAATTATTAGAGGAAGAAGACGAATCGTTTTACCATTCTCGACTCGTATGCCTTGTCTGAATTCAGTTTTCCCCCTCCCGCGCAAAGCGCGGAAGCTTTGACGTTTCATTAAATTATTAGAGAAAGAAGACGATTCGTTGTAACATTCTCGACTCTTAATCCTTGTTTGAACGCAGTTTCACCCCCTCTCGCGCGAAGCGAGGAAGCTTTGACCTTTCATTAAATTATTGGAGAAAGAAGACGAATCGTTTTACCATTTTCGTCTCTTAATCCTTGTCTGAATTCAGTTGCCCCCTCCCGAGCGATGCGCGGAAGCTTTGACGTTCATTAAATTATTAGAGAAAGAAGACGATTCGTTGTACCGTTCTCGACTCTTAATCCTTGTCTGAATTGAGTTCCCGTCCCCCCTCCCGCGTGAAGCGCGGAAGCTTTGACGTTTCATTAAATTATAAGGGAAAGGAGACGATTCTTTGTACCATTCTTGACTCTTAATCCTTGTCTGAATTCAGTTTTCCCCTGCCAACGTTAGCGCGTAAGCTTTGACGGTTCATTAAATTATTAGAGAAAGAAGACGATTCGTTGTAACATTCTCGACTCTTAATCCTTGTTTGAACGCAGTTTCACCCCCTCTCGCGCGAAGCGAGGAAGCTTTGACCTTTCATTAAATTATTGGAGAAAGAAGGCGAATCGTTTTACCATTTTCGTCTCTTAATCCTTGTCTGAATTCAGTTGCCCCCTCCCGAGCGATGCGCGGAAGCTTTGACGTTTCATTAAATTATTAGAGAAAGAAGACGATTCGTTGTACCGTTCACGACTTGTCAGAATTTTCAAAAATGTTTCTTTGTCTGCTCCTTTTTCGTCCTATATCCTTTTACTGCCCCTACCGCCCCTGGCTACGCGCCTGCTTTAAAGCGAAAATGAAACAATCATGATTGTGATAGCACACACTTAGGTTAGTAGAAATGAAAGGGAAAAAATATCTATTACACCAACCATGGATAAATCACGGCGGGGAGCGTCATAGGTTTGTGTTATCGGGCGAGGGCCGGGGCGTAGCGACCAAGCGAGATTTTGCAATGTTGAATG